ATTTCCAAGCGGTCAAAGCCACTAGCTCAGGCTCCGCTCACTTTCCACCTTGGTTCGAGGTGTCCGGTGGACATATCACCCGCCACCATTATCTGTTTTCTCTATGGTCCTACCACGGGCCACTCTTGGTCTCCTAACACTTCAGAGTTTGATTACCGCTGGGACATCGTGCGGAGTGGCACTTCCAGAGGAATGCTGAGCAGCGAGAGGCTGTGATACTATGGCTGGCCAGGTACATTGCTGCGGATGGCGAGCGAGCGGAATGGGTCGCTGCTCCACGGTTGGGCATCCAGGAGGCCACGTTAAATTTTGTGGGCAAGTTCTTCTGGCTGCTGGTGCGTAATAGAGTATCTTTACAAAAGCTGACAATCAAGTCACTTGGGAAAGAGCGGTGATGGTTGCAGCATTGGTAGCAGGAGTGGAGATCAACTTTGCCCGCATGCTGCTGGCAGAGATTCACGAGAGAGCTTTCAGACCTCCACTACTTACCCCATTCCATGTCTGATCTTCACTTGTGCAGGGACTTGGAGTGCCGATCTGGCATTGTGACAGGCTAGTCCACCCTACAGGGGCATTGGACATCGGCCCTTATTCGGGATGACGCAAATGTGGCAGCACCTCGCAGAGAGCCTCAGGTTGAGGTACCTCATTTGGGTGCCGATCTTGCAGACACAGTGGAGGCAGGCACAGGTGATACCTAAGCATCCCCGATCACACCGACACTGTTCAGGGCACCTCATCTCAGGTAGCTAGTATGGCTCCTAGCTCTTCCCGGTCCACACCGCAGTTAGGAGCTACTGTGGTTCCTTTGGCCAGAGTCCAGAAATTAGAAGCTCAGATGGCCACTCTGCTGCATCACATCCAGCCGTGGATGCAAAAGTCCATCGCAGAATCAGAGGCCAGAATGGAGCGCAGGATGGAGGGGATGATGGACCGTAAGGTCCTGGCGGTTAATAAGCGACTTGACGCCTTTGAGTTGCGAGTCGTCGAGCGATCAGCGTCATCCACAGACTTAGCTGATTTGCAGGCTGACATAGCCATGCTCCGGACCGATGTTGATGCATTCTTGCTGCACCTTCAGTTGAGACTCAGGCTGCCCCTACTGCGCTGGCTGACGATACAATGCTAGATGCTCTATTCAGTGGCATCGCCGAGGAGGGGCCTGCACCGACACATGCCAAAGGCAAGAGGCACTGCTCTCATTGCACGGAGAAGAGAAAGCTCAGAAACGACAACGTCAGCAAGAGAAGGAGGCTAGGAGGGCGTCGATTGCAGATGAAGAGTTGCGCTAGCAGAGGGTGCGTGAGAGAGCTGCAGGGGCATCGAGCTCTGCCCCAGTTGCAGAGGATCAACCTATTTTGAGAGGCGTTTGATAGAGAGCACTACTGAGGGTGCTAGGATCGCTGAGGTGGGCACTACTGAGGGTGCCCCCACTGATGTTCCAGAGGGCTCTGGGAAACCGGACCCCCCTGCTTGTTGATAATTCGCCGGCGCTTTGCACCACAGGTTTGCTTCACCCAAATCCATCTTCTTTAACTGTTTATGTATGCATTGTGGACAATTGCATCTACTTTTGTTGGGGGTGGGGTAAATGGATTGTGCGTGATAGGGTGAAGTCTGATTAACCCAACTCATGAATCCTCTCTTGGGGTTTTCTTGCCTGCGTTCTTTTCCCCCAAGAGACTGTTTAATTTTTGTTGAATCGGCATGTCTTAGGATTGTATGTGTAGAAGCATGATACAGAATGAAGCATGATGGCTTATAAAAATAAAATGATACCCGTCAGATTCTGGGTTGTATGCTAGAAGTAGGCTACGATTAGTTGATTGTGTTGGCTTTGAGTATGACATAGTAACAATCGACCTTATGACATGACTAGACCTGAAATTTCAACTGGGTAATCTGATAATCTGATAATGAAATTATGTGCCAAGAGTGGGTGAGAATCATTGACTGTTCAAACGATTTTTGTGCAAAACTAGAACTTGCCCGGTTAGTCCTGCTAAGACAATTCAATCTAGAGGATAGGAAATGATCATAGGCCGTTGTTCTTAAAAATCCACAAATTGCCTAGAAGGATTCAACCAAATGAAATAACTGCTCCCTTTGATCCAACTTTGAGCCTGAAAAAAAACCATTTCTTTCTAAAACCCCGGACTCATTTTCCATAATCTACTATGTTGGCCCCGGTCCCTCCTTGGACATGTGCACTTTGACTTAGGCCAAAAGCCTAAGTTGAGGGTGGCTAATGTAAAAAGTGACTTCAATCTTGGCCTTGACCCGACATCAGGTATTGTGCACCTTAACTAACGGAAAATCCATAAGTTGAGGATGGCTATGAAAGAGGAAACTGAAAGAAAATTGGGTATGAAAAGATTGGAAAAAAGAAGAAGGGGAAAACGTGAGGAAAGGATGTGACCTGTTAAAAGAGAAAGGAACAATAAAATAAAAGGAAAATGAGCTACAAAGTCTAAAGTCACATCCGTGGTTGAAGGAAATCAAGGGAAAGAAGGTAAAACAATAATATGACCAAAAAAAATAGGGCAAAATGAGGTTAAAAGCCTAGTGTAATGACAAGGAGGGAAGAAAGTCACTAAGCAGTACCCAAATGTACCACACCTAACCCTGAGCCTACGTTACAAGCCAATAAAATCCTATAGTGATCCTAGAGTCTAGTTTGGAGAGTCTAAGCAGTGAAAATAAGGGCAAGCTTATGGCAGCAAGCACTAACTGTATTTGAAATCATTTCTGAGCGTGAGTGTTGAATAAATCCTTGTACCATGAATGAAATTAATTTTTTGTGAAAAGAGGATTTCGTTTGAAGTAAGGGCACTAGTTACATCGTCGGAAAGTTGGTACCTGGGTGACAGTGAAAAGGTGTGTTGTATGTCAGTTGGTTGGTCTGTGTCATGATGTGATCCACATGAGTTGGCTTGTCGAGTCTAAGAGAACGAATGTGCACCCGAACAATGAGGAGGTAGAGAGCCATGTGATTGCTTGAGTTTAGAAATGTTTGCTTCTATACAAGAGTCGTTTAGAGTTCTAGTGCGTCGCTTGAGGACAAACAACGAATTTAAGTTGAGGGTGTTGATATACCGTGACTTTACGGTATTTCTAATACATTTCACTTACAAGTTGTGTGTGTCTAGGGCCTTTTTATATTGGTTTTTATGGTTTTTATCATGTTTTGCAGGAAAGGTGTTCAGGCGCGAAAGTTTAGAGACAGCTGAAGGAAATGCAGAAAAAAGGCAT